TTCTTTTATTCAGTTTCTTGAACTACCGCCAAACCAAGAGATTCTTGCTACGACTTTCCTCTCCAATGACAATGCTTCAGAGTCACTTCCACACAAGTCTATATGGAGTCTTTCAGGTATTACTAAACCCTTTCGGTCTTGACTGCTGATTCCAAGATGCTCAAATTCACTTGCTCTAAGTCTACCTTCTATGTACCATAAAAGCTTTTTACTTCAGACTTAGACCAAACAACGGCCACCGTAAACAACAAGGGTGTACAAGGTCTGAAACTAATAGTCTTGATAATCAACGACTTCACACAAAGTCTTGCTGACGAAGGGTGAACTCTAACAGCTAACCTACAACCGTCACCCAAATTTCATACATGCTCACCAAGTGTCGTCTTTATTCGTTAAGACACATGAATGAACACCATAATTGTAAGACTTATGCATTTCTTAGTTCCCATGGTTAGCTTTCTATGTATTCAATCCTATCATAACTCATAATATAGTGTCCAAGTTATGGATGAAGCAAAACATGAACCAAAAGGTCCACAAGGCATTGAACATACTGATTTTTCACTCACAATCCAGTGTAAATCGGTTTACCTACCTAACCAATCGATTTATCTCTGAAGCATTGCAGAAAATACCATTTTCCTCTGAAGAAATCGATTTACCTGCTAGGACAATCAATTAACCATTTAATAAGTATATTTTACTCATATAGGGATAACCAAAATCTTTATAAGTCATTATTATCTTCTAGATTGGTCCTACAGAAGATTAATATATACTTTACTATGAGATGTTTAAATTCACACGGCTCTCAAACTATCTAAACTCAAATCCTTTAATGAATAAAGATGAATTGGATATAGCATTTATCTAGAATTGACCCTGGATTGAGGCAAGCAGACCCACAGCCTAGAGCCTCAAAATAATGGAGGCATCATAATACTGAAAAAATATAATATGTATGCATTAACGAGATTTATATAGAATTCATTGTAGATAGCCTAACGTCTTCGTCCCTGACTTGGAAAGTTAATGTCTTCGATTTGAAACTCACTTCCTTCCAAAATTTTAGTTATATATATATATATATATATATATAAAAATTTATTTTAGTATATATTTTAGAGATTATTTATATGTTATAATTAAATATTTAAAAGTTTATCATACAATTAATTCATTTATTAACAAATTTTTATGATGAAATCAAATTTATTATTATTTGCGCTTTGATTTATTATTTTTTTATCATAGAATTAAATTTCTTATCAGGTAAACTTGCGTATTAGGGCCAAGACATGACTTAGGTCTACTACTCCTACATTTCTTAGCCACATGACTTAATTTTTGACAATTAAAATAAGAGAAAACACCACTTTCATTTAGCTGAGATGGTGGTTGTTGCTTAGAGATTTGAGCAACTAAGACTCTTAAAAGATTCTCATTCTTAATTCAGTTAATCATATTGCGATTTTGAATTCTTTACTAATTTGCGTATGAATTTTTATCCGCATTGAAATTTTTGTTGTTGTTAGAAACAATCAAAACTTCATATTCTTGATTTTATCTCTGAAATTCTTCTTCATTTTGAAGGTGAGTAATAATTCAATTTTTTTATAGAAGTTCTTTTTTTTCTTCCTGAACCTTTAAAAAGTTAAGATCGACCCTACATTTATCATGTTGTATTTTCTTGTTACTAGGACTTATGCCTCTATTACAAAATATCACAGGGTACCTCCATCGAGCAAAACAAATTGTGCAACTTATAAAACATATATTTAATTATGTGTGTTCTAATTCACATGTCCATTGGTCTCAACTTTGCAATCATTATTCAATATTTCTAAATTATTTTTCTTAAAGTAATGCAATTTATAAGGTGATGGTTTCTCACTTAATGTACCAACATCCCTAAATTGAAATAACTTTATTTCCTTTATTTAATATTGACATAATATTAATTTTTCCCCATTAAGTTTTATCACTCTATATTCACTGAGATGACCCACACGTATATGACAGAGTTTGATTGTATCATTATCAGACTCGATCGATGCAACATCGTCTACAACAATGTTTTTTAACTATTTGCAAATGTTATCTACAATCCTCCTTGCTCTCATCACAGTCAATGCATCCTTGCTAACCTTCATAATAATCCATATCTCCATCAAACCTGTAGGAGAAACAATTTGAATGTAGAGTGTTTAGAAAAATCAAATTCTTTATCAATTTTGTAACATATTTGACTTCACTCAATCTTCGTACACCACCATCGTCCAAGGCAATTTTAATTTGTCTCATTCCATTTATAGTACATGCTTTTATCATCACCTAGATAAACAAGTCCAAAATTACCTGACCTTAATGTAGTGAATCATTCTCAGTGTGGCGCCATGTGGTAATAACAACCAGTCATGAATCCATGCATCTGTGCATTTGCTAGATGAAAGGCGCAATATATCTGATTCACTACCATAATCATTAGTTTGAACCATATCTGTAGAACTGGATAAGCCCTTCTTTCTGTTTGAACAATCTCTCTTCTAATTCCCAATATGTTTGCAACTATAACATTCAACAATTTTTCGATTTCTGGATTTAAACCTCTTCTTTCTAGAAACTCCATTACCCTTATTTCACCCAAGATCTTGACCACCTTTAACATACAGACTGTCACCTTGAGTTCATTCCTCTACACTTTATCTTCTTTTAGAATGAGACAAAAGTATATCAGTAATCACATCAAGACTAATAGTGTATTTTCCATAGGTAAGAGTAGTTACCAAAGGATCATAAGAACCTAGTAACGAGCAGAGCAAGATAATTTTCTTATCTTCGTCATCAATCTTCACTCCGAGCCTCACTAGGTTGATAATTACATTGTTAAAGTCATTTACATGTTGTTGTAAATCAAATTCTTTATGCATCTTCAGACTGTATAGTCGATGCTTCGCGAATATTTTGTTAATCAACTTCTTTGACATATATTGACTTTCAAACTTGTCCTAAACCTCCTTCAGAATCATCAGATCCAGGATATGATACATCATATCATCTGAAACACATAGACGAATCAATCTTGCAGCCTTCTTTTTATCTATGCCCACTTGGTATCCTCTATGTCGTTTGGTTTCGTCTCACACATCGCTTTTCTGTAAACTTTGTTGAGCCAACATATCCTTAACCCTACTTTGCCATAATTTGAAATTACCCATCCCGTTAAATGTTGTTACTTAGAATTTCACACCATAGTTAATCTCCATCTAATACCAATGGTTAAAACAACAACTAGTATATAAGATTAAAGATAAACGAAAGAAAAAGACAATGAGCACGATCAATCTTTGCTAACACAATTTGGCCAATGGTGTCTACCTTTGCGACTATAGAGTACCTATAGCTCCTTTTAATTACGTCTAATGAATTGATTAGATTACAATGTTGCAAGCCCTATATAATAAGGGTGTTCAGATTCAAACCAATGTAAATAAAAACTGCAAACCGATCCAAAAAAAAAACGAAAACTGTAAAAAAATCAAAATTTATTGGATGTGTTTGGATGTCGTTTTGTGAAAACCGTTCGGTTCGGATCGGATTTCAAATTGATTATTCAAAATCGATCTAAACCAAATCGAACCGCATATATATATATATATATATATATATATATATATATATATATATATATATATATATATATATATATATATATATATATATATATATATATATATATATATATATATATATATATATATATATATATATATATATATATATATATATATATATATATATATATATATATATATATATATATATATATATATATATATATATATATATATATATATATATATATATATATATATATATATATATATATATATATATAATATATATATATATATATATAATATATTATATATTCCTATCAAACCTATGATTTATTAGTATTTTTATAATATTAATAAATAATATATTTTGTAATTTGGATAATAATATATTTTGTAATTTGGATATCCAAAAACCTATCCAAATTAAATCGTATTAAATTGGATCAGATCATATCAGATTTTTTTAATACATCATTCAAAACCGAACCGAAGCACAAGTAAATTTATCTTTAGATCAGATGAATTTTTGTCTTAAAACTGATCCAAACCAAACCGCAAACACCCCTAATATATAATACTAGGGTTCCGTTTATCTAAAACCTTAATTTTTGTTTCCCTCAACAACCAGTTATCTCTATCCATAATCATCTCAACAATATAAATCATACTCAACATAATATAATATAATATTATACTATACAAGGATGACACAAACTATATCTTACATTCAATATAGATATAAGAATTAAACAATAATTATATACGTGAACATTATCATGAAAATGTTATATCAAATCATATGATATTCTCATAATTTGAGTTACAATGATGTTTTGTTTGATATCTCTCTATTATAATATTAAATATGTGATTTAGCATTATTGTCAACAATACGAGAATCTATAAAGTCACACAACAATAATATATAGTGTCAAAAAATCCAAAGAAATAAACCGAACCACAACCAAACTGAATTGGTGTTAAATAATTGAACCATTCCTTTTGGTTAATGAATTGAACCAATAATTTTCAAACCTTAACCAAATCAAACCGCAATCAGTTAATCAAATCTATGATATTCATGGTGTGGTTAATCCAATAAATTAAACCATTCAAAATAAACACATAATTTAAGGACTAAATTGATGGTTTATTCAATATTTATTGGCTTAAATTTAAGTTAACCTCTAAATTCACTATTTCTTTCAGTATTATTCGGAACATTGCATGCCTTGTCTCTCAAGTAAAAGTTGAAAGTTCCTAAGAGTGACTTGTAATAACAAAATTGAATGCATTTCTCTCACAAACTCTTGCTTCTCGTGTATACTATATTGGAAATTGTTCACATGCAAGAAGAGGAAAGTGGCAGAATCATGTGAATCAGTAAGTAGGAACTGACGGATCGACCTGCACCGCATAGGCATGAATTCCTCCAGAAATATTGTAGACTTTCCTGAACCCCTGAAACAAGAAACATTCATGAATGTTTCGTACGTGAAACATGTCGGCTCCAAATAACCAGACGAAACATGGCTAGTTGATCAGACAAAAATTATTTACCTGTGAATGCAGCCACTTGGCAACCTGCATGGACCGCGCGCCGTGATGACACTGCATTCAGAAGTCAAGTTATTGAACTAAGCAGAACACTATTCAAAGAATTCCACTTCCAAGTTTTGCAAGAACTTGCTAATGAAAATGAAATGTTTTACAAGAAAAAGGGTACTTACCAGAACATATGTATCCTTTTGAGGATCAAATTTGGTGTTTATTTCAGGCCCCCAGGTTCCAAATTGTCGGAGGGGAAGAACTGTAAATCCCGGCAAAGATGCTGTGGCCCTGTGTACGATGAGAGTATCATTAAAAGATGGGAAAATCAAAATCAACCACTGAAATAAGCATAAGAAATATAAAACTAGTTAAAGTCGAAGAAAATAGGAACATACACTTCTTCAGGCTCTCGAACATCAATTAACTGCGCCTCCTCTAAAAAGGTGGGATCTTGAAATTTCACATGCAGCTCATCAGGTTGAATGTATTTAAGTACCGCTTCTTCCCTAGCAGTTAAAAGAGCAAATTTGCGAGACATAAGAATTAAGAACCCTCAATGAAACAAATAACTACCACTATTATCAAGCCTTATCCATAAGGTGATGTTGGCTGATTGGATCAAACAACAATTAGAGTTACTCAATAACCAAATATTGAATAAACTTCAAATTGGGACTAAACACATTTACCAACCAACTTAGAAAACATATGCTTGGAATGGAAATACCTTTCAGATAAAACCTGTAGTAGGTGCCATCCAAATTTTGTCTTGCACTTTACAACTTTGTTTAAAGGTGCACTAAATGCAGCCTCCTCAAATTCAGGAACCTGTTGAACTTTCATCGTCAGAGATAAGCTCAATCACATAATTGTACTATTGTAGTAATTAGAATTTTTGGACAACGTCTAACTCAACAATGCTTCAAAGTTGGCTTGTAAGATGATGACCCTTCTCTTTACATAAGGCAGTGTTATGTATACCAACTGGAACCACCTATGCAAGTAGCAAAAAAAGTAACAAATAGAATAACTTAAACCTAAACTTCATACCATTTGTCCCTTTCTAACCCACCCGAGCATTCCTCCTTCATCTTTAGAAGGGCAAATTGAATGGTCCACAGCAAGATCACTTAAATCTTCACCTGGGCAAACAACAATAGTAAAGATTGATCGATTTAGTCCCTCAAATTTACGAAATAGCAATTAAATCCTTGAAATTGAACAACATCAGTCAACTTAGTCATTCACTCTAAATTAAGAACCACAACTTTAAAGGTTTCATGTTATCCCTTCACATTGATAGTATTCAAACAACTCAATTCAAATTTTCTAACAATGATACAAACAATTTACCACACTAAATCAATTTTGAATTACGCGATTCAAGATTTTATTTCAACCTCTAGCAACTCTCTGTTGAAGATCCAACAATAGTTTCTGATCATCTTCTTTCACCAACAAATGCTGCACCAATATTTCCCTTTCCCCACCACCTTCAACAGCACTACCCCCGGTACTATACGAAGCTGAAAAACAAAACAACCCAAAAATAAAAATCAAATTTTTATCATTTTTTCAAACACTTCACTACATCACAAAATATTACATAAAAAATTAAGAAAAGGGTTTGCAAAGAATGAGTACCTGTTGATTTTGGAGGCATGATAGAAGAAAAGGGTGAAAGAGGAAGAGAAGAAGGTGAGTGAAAATGGAAGGGTTTTGTTGTGGATGAAAAAGTGTGGATTTTGGAGTGAGAAGAGAAAGAGAAGAGTGAGGGAATTGTGGAGAGTGAAGAGAGTTTTGGAATCGGTAAACCAGCTCGTAACTGACAAGCTCTCAACATTGTTGTTCTTCCTTTTGGATGAATCTAACACAGACAAGAGAACACAGAAAAAACTCACTAAAATATTATTTATTGTGTATATTAAATATCATTTTAAAATTTTGTTTGACAAAATTGCTTTTTTTTTTTTAGTTTATAAATTTATTTTGGTAATATTTTTTTTTAATAGAGATTCTATTCTTTTTTTTTTAAATAATAGAGTGGTAAATTATTATAGTATTATGTGTATAAAATCAAATAGATTTTAAATATATCTTACATGTTTTAGAAATGTATTACCAATTTATTGTCTATTCTATTATCTTAGTAGTTATAAAACTAAAACCATAAGATTGTTGTCCTTTACTTAATTTCTTTCTTCTTTGTTATATTTATTTATTTAAAAAAATAAGATAAATTAGTACTCCTTTCGTATCAAAATATAAGTCTTTTAAAATTGTTACATACATCTCTCTCTCATATTTAAAATTATTTGGTCAACAAATGACATTTAAGCCTAACTCTTAGAATTTTTTTTTGGAATAACCATGTATTAAAAAAAAATCGCAAATAACCATGTTTTAGAGAAAATTACGCAAATAACCATGTTTCAGAAAACTCTCCAAGGGAGGAGCCATCCCACTTGGCGCCTACACCTTTTTTTTAAGGGGAGGCGCCATCTCACTTGGCGCCTAGGTGTTAAAGGCTTTTGCCCTAAGCCAAGTGAGATGGCGCCTTAGTGCAATTGGAAGACAAATTTTCACGTTTTTTATTTTAAATGCGGTGCGTTACGTATTCAATATAGGATCAACAAAATTGACTTTTTATTTACAAAATACGATTACACACATAACGATTACATAAAAAAATATAGATTAATCAGTGGTCCCCCAGAACCTGGTAATGACCCCCGGTTCCACATCCCCGTCCTCGCCTTTCCCGTGATGGGTTTCGTCGCGTTTCTTGCTGTGGCAGGGTCGATGGCCCAACGAAGTCAATGCGTTCAGGATCCATGAAATCAGTCAGATCTCCATATCTAGAAGATCCGCTTTGGTACAGTCGGTTACCCATATCCTCAAAGTTTGGTCGTGTTAGTGGTGGATGGGGTTCCATGGTTGGTCTGTAGCACTGGTCGTCTGAGTACGGGGGTAGAAAGGAAATGGATCTTGGAGTGTTTGCTATTGAGGATGTTGGGTGGTTTGGTGATGTTGTGGTTGATGGTAAGTTGGGTCGGTTGGTTCATAATCTTTGGACAATCCCAGATCAGGGCTAAGGTTGGATGTTGAGGGGCCCATGTTGGGATATGCAGAAGACTAAAATTGTGTGCGGGGTATGCGGGTGTGTAGGTATTGTGATTGAAATTGTGGTTGGGTATGAGGCATATGGGGGTATTGGTACTGAGGTGGTGATTGTGGTTGGTTGTGGGGCATGTGGGTGTAATTATATTGTGGTGGTGACTGTGGTTGGGTGTTTGTGGTTCTGTTTCATCGGGGGGTTGGTGGGAGGTTGATGTGTGTTGGGTTTGTTGTTGGGGAAATGAGGGTTGTGTCCATTGTGTTATGGGTAAACCAAATACCTTGGATGAGACACGTGCATTTCAGGGGTACTAACCGACCTGTACCAAGATAAATACTGATCCGTGTGTCGCATATTACCATGGTTGAGGAAAACTGGGAATTGCAAGACATGTCGGTGACGCCTCTGCCATATCTTACACCATTCTGGAGCAAAGCCTTTCCAGTTGGTAAGACCCCATTGGGCGTCAACCCTTTTGAGATGCCACGGGGACAAACAAGTTGGATCGCTGGGTATCTCTTGATGCATTCCAAACTGCATCTTGACACGGTCGCTGTGGTGCATCTCCATAACATTGAACCGTATAATTGCAGTCTTTACGCTCCAAATTGCTGCATCCTCGGGGTTTGATTCATGGTCCAAACCCAAATATGGTCTCCAGAAAAACTGCGGATAAAATTAAATCAGGTTAATGAAAACGTAATAAAAAAATAACTTAAAAGTAGAAAAGTTGAAAGGTAAGACGTACATCATCCGGGCCAAGGTGATCCAATAGATTGTGGTATAGTGCGACATTGAATCTTGGATTCTTGCCATAATCCATACCCCTCACGCAATACCTAAAGGAATTGAAAAATATTTTATTTTTATCATATATTTGGTGAAGAGATGAATAGTAATAAATGATATGACTTGATGACTTACTTTGTTACGTATGGGAAAACAAATGTGTTGTTGTTGACGGGATTTAAGGACTCCATCCTCCACCAACCCCAGGCTTGAAGTAAAAAAGCGCAGTCATAAAATGTACATTTTTCCTTGATTTCATTTTTACACAAGGAACTGTATAGATGGGCTAAAACAGCAGAACCATAACTATACTTTCTAGTTTTTTCGAAGTCTCTAAGTAAATTTAAATACATAAAATTTACATTATTTCCCGTACTTTCGGGAAATAAAAAGGTTCCAAATAGTATCATTATATAATTTCTAGCTTTTATTACCTTAGCTAGCTCGGAGGAATTTTCGTTCAATTCCAGAGTCGTATAATGATTGTTTAGTTCAGTAAGTAGTATACCCTGACCTCTCGCACCACCACCTTCAACCATATCCCTGCCCAACAATTCTTCACACAGAGAATTGGGTTGTTGAACCGACCTGTTAACCGCCTTACCATCGACAGGGAGACCCAATAACATGTACACGTCCTCTAGTGTGACGGTACATTCACCTATTGGTAGATGAAATATATGGGTCTCTGGTCTCCATCTTTCCAACATTGCAAGTATGAACTTTGAATCAATTGTGCAGTTGGAGATCTTTATAACGTTTCCGAAACTTGCATAATTAAGATAGGGTACGATCAACGGGTCGGGAGCAAGGTAGTTGTGTGACCGGATTCTGAATCTTTTAGTATCCTAAGTTAATAATGTAAAAGGTGTAAGAGTAGATAAGATGAATAAAGCATTAATAGAAGTATGAAAAATGTATAAGTATAAAAGAAACTTATAAATGCTGCAATATTGTCCCTTGTGCCTCTGTGAGAATCGCCCATTGTGAGAAGAACCATTGTTGAAAATGCCTGAGATTATGAAAGAGTTTGAAATTGTAAGAGATTATGAAATAGTTTGTAGCAGAGAGAGAGAGACGATTGTGGATGCGAGAGAAGTATGTAAGGCTCTGTATTTATAAGCAAAATTTTATCATAGAGTAAGTGAGGTGGTAGGTGGGTGCATGCATGCATGATAAGTGTCACTCTTGCAGTGTAGGTGCAGGCTACATGGCAGTGTTGAGGAAGGCATCTTTGCATGCATGTAACACGATTGGACGTGAAGGGAGGCGCCATTGGACTTGACGAAAGAGTACAAAAATGAAAGGTGTCGCCATCCCTATTAGCGAATAAGAGGTGGCATGGGTTACAGTGTAGGCGCATGCTAGGTGACAGCCTTAGAGAAGGCATCTCTAAATGCATGTAACACTATTGGACGTGATGGGAGGCGCCTTAGAGGTTGCAGTGTAGGTGTAGTGTAGGCGCAGGCTAGGTGATAGCCTTGGAGAAGGCATCTCTACATGCATGTAACACGATTGTACGTGAAGGGAGGCGCCATTGGACTTGGCGAAAGAGTACAAAAATGAAAGGTGTTGCCATCCCTGTTGGCGAATAAGAGGTGGCATGGGTTGCAGTGTAGGCGCATGCTAGGTGACAGCCTTGGAGAAGGCATCTCTGCATGCATGTAACACGATTGGATATGAAGGGGGGCGCCATTAGACTTGGCGAAAGAGTACAAAAATGAAAGGTGTCGCCATCCCTGTTGGCGAATAAAAGGTGGCATGGGTTGCAGTGTAGGCGCATGCTAGGTGACAACCTTGGAGAAGGCATCTCTGCATGCATGTAACACGAATGGACATGAAGGGGGGCACCATTGGACTTGGCTAAAGAGTACAAAAATGAAAGGTGTTGCCATCCCTGTTGGCGAATAAGAGGTGACATGGGTTGCAGTGTAGGCGTAGGCTAGGTGACAGCCTTGGAGAAGGCATCTCTGCATGCATGTAACACGATTGGACGTGAAGGGAGGCGCCATTGGACTTAGCGAAAGAGTACAAAAATGAAAGGTGTCGCCATCCCTATTGGCGAATAAGAGGTGGCATGGGTTGAAGTGTAGGCGCAGGCTATGTGATAGCCTTGGAGAAGGCATCTCTGAATGCATGTAACACTATTGAACGTGATGGGAGGCGCCTTAGAGGTTGCAGTGTAGGTACATGCTAGGTGACAGCCTTAGAGAAGGCATCTCTGCCTTACTGTTGGTTTATTCAAATTCAGTACAACCTATTTAATCTTACATTTATCAAAACACTCATACACTTAATCTCTCAAACACTAGAACATTCAAAAATTCCAGCAATTAACTCATAAACTACAAATCTTCAAACCTTCAAACAGTCATACACAATGGCCTCTGCACCCCAATATGTGATCAGTGCACATTTCAACGGTGAGACATACATTTATCCCACCTCTGAGTTTTTGTTTAGAGACACTGAGAACATCTGATTTTGTTTAAACAAGAAAGGTAATTTCTTGTACTTCAAAAAACGATTGGAGACCAAACTTGGACGAGGCCCCGTGACACAAATATTTTATCAGAATCCTGTTTTTTTTGTAACAACCAAATAATATTTTATAAGGTTGAGGTTTAAGATGATGAGGACCTTCAGAATATGTTTTCCAGTCATGAGTATTCTGGGTACGACTCTATTGAGTTGTACATTATGTTGCGAGAGCCTCAACTGTCACAAGTGGTTGATCATTTGGAGATCGAACAATCAGAAGTAGATGCCATTGATGAAGAATAAGAAGATGACGAGTTGGAGTTTGACGAAATGGTCAATGATGATTCCGAAGTTGATGGGATACCTGGTATTCCTTCAAACGAGATCTACACACCACCTCCGCACATGACAAACTTCAACATGGGCGGAGATAAACCGTCTTCTGATTTATTTTT